TTATTTATTATATTTATTTATTATATTATTCGACGCATCTTTACGTCGCTACTATATCATTACTTTATTGTTTATATTATCAATACCACTGACTTCCCTTCGTTATAATTCCCTTATTTCACCTCACTTTTACTCTACCCTATTACAACTACCTTACTATCGCTAATCTAACCTCGGCCCCGATAGTTAACGCTCTCCCAATTCTGATAGTAACAAGTGGTGCCAGTTGTGTGGATCAGAACAACGTACTTCAGATTCGCTGTGGATGAATAATTTTGAACAGCATTTTAGAAACAGTATCGAGCATGATCAACATCATTATACTGTTGAAAATAGTCGTCTAGCAATTAAATACCTGATAGAGTATTACTCAGACAACTCTTGTATTGTTTGTTTTCCCCCTCATGACAACAACTCGATTCAGTTCACTAATTTTTGGAAGTGGTTTAGCTTAGCTCAACCGGTTCTTTCTTTCTCACAAATATCTTTAATTTGTTTCGACGTTTTCCACGACTTTCCCATAGGAAGATTTTCAGACGCTTCATTAAGAAAGTTTATCTTCAGCTTCTGCTACTTTGAACAACCCGATGATTATCCAACAATATTGAACGAATTTTTGAAAGTTTATCAAGATAGTGATAGGTTTCTTAAGGATCCTTTTGTAGACACATATTGTTTTAGTGAAACTTCAGAAGACGACGTTAATTATATAGTAGAAATTACTGACAATATGGCCCACAGGAATAATAATAATAACAATCGTAACAATAACAACAACCTCCTTATCGACCCCAATACAAATAATCTGCCTCCCAACAACCCCAATCCAAACCCACCTAACCAACCCAACCCCATGGATAATCTCGCCCAATAGATTGCAGCCTTGGTAGTACAAATGCGACAAGTTCCCGCCCCCCAAATTAATCTACCAGCCCCTCAGATTAATATACCTCAAATAAATATCCCAGCTCAGAACTGTGAACTCAATTTGGTTTCGTATCCTGAGTTCTCAGGTGGAGAACAGGATCTGATCACGTGGTTGGAAGATATTGAAAAGGCATTCGAGGCGAACCAAGTCCAAGACAATCATAAAATTTCTGTTGTCGTTTTTAAACTTAAAAGCGCCGCCGCCACCTGGTGGGTTAGTGTTAGAAACCTCCAACAGCCTGTTGATAGATTGGATGATGCTAGGAACCAAGCCCAAAGTTTCAAACCTACTTTTATTGCCCATTTTCAGACCCCAGCTTTAGAAAGTA